TGGTCGGCAGGTGGGGGGTGGGGGGCTCCCACTGCGGCCCTGGGCTGACACGCCTCACGTCGCTTTCCCATCACGGTCCCTGGACCCCAGGTCGGGGGCTGGTCGGCTCCGGGCACGCTGGTGTAGACCCCAGGACCCTCTTTCATGTACTTTTAAAGCTGTAACAGCACCCTCTAGAGGACAGGCCCAGGGTCCGCTGCCAGCCATGCATCTCAGGGACCTCCAGAGTCTGTGGTCTGGTCCGACCAGGCCCAGAGACAGAGTCCAGATCCTTCCTAGGAGGCCGCTGCAGAGGAAAAGAACTCACCGGTCATTCTGGAAAGTGCCCTGGACACAAAGGGGCTGCACACAGATGTAGATCCGTGTGTACTGATACAAACGGTCCACACATAAACACACACATATGCACACACATGCCTACATGTGTACATGTAAACGTACTCCGTACCTATATAGATCACACGGGACGCCCCGCCTCCCCTCAGCTCCCTCCAGGCCCCCAGGCCCGCAGCCCCCACCAGCCCTGCGCCCCCTCCAGCGGGATGCTCTCCCCTCCCCTGCCTGCCTCTGGGCCTCTGCCCACCCAAGCCCTGGCCGTGGACACGCACCTGTGCCCCTCGCCCGGTGGGTCTTCCCGTGTTTCCCCACCAGAAAGCTAGATTTTAACAGAACTCTCCCGTTCTCTGAACGTTGGCAAGGAAAATGAGATTTTTAAATGCCAGGGGGGACGAGGCTGCGAGATTGTCGAGGGAAGGGACAATGTCTTCTGCTGGAGCCCCCTCCCCCAGCTCAGCATTGGTTGGAGAGGGAGTCCAAGGGCTTCTCCAACCCTCACCTCCACCTCGGGGCCCTAGGAGCCTCTGAGCCACTGTGAGGCCCCCACACCCTCGCCATCTCAGGTGGCCAGTAACGGTGTGGCCGTCAGCCTGGCCCTGGGGTGCAGATCCAGGCCTCAACCGCTCCGCTTCCCCAGGCTCGTGGGAGGACTCCACCCGTGGTGGGCCCACTGTGTGCCAGCTCTCTGCCCCAGGCTGGCTCTGAAGGAGGACATGCCACCAGGGCAGGGCGTCTGAGGGTGAGGGTAGACACCAGACAGCAGGTCCCCTCCACCCTGCCCTCCCGCCACAGCCTGGCTGGGCCCCTGATTAGGAGGCTGGGCCGCTATCCTCTGTCCAGGACCTCCGCCACCCTGGTCCTGTCTCACTAGGACGGGCAGTGGGCTGTCCTGTGCTCCCCCTCGTCAGCCATTGGAGGGCCTTTGGGAAATCCACTGGTCAAGCCCCCCCACCTGACCCAGTCCCGGCCCCCTGGTGCCCTGCAGCCTCCCTGCTCCTCCCACTTGAGTGACTCAGACATCGGCTGCCCCCGGAAGACCTGGTTTCTCTGTGCCCGGCAACACGGCTGGTCATGGCCCTCGAACTGTGGACGCCGCCCACCCTCCCCTGCAGGGCCCCAGGTGGTGAGGTGCCTCATCGGTGCATCCCCTGAGGCCAGAGGGCCACACCTCATCCAGCGGTAGCCCCGGCCACACAGCCAGCCCCACACCTGCCTTCCTCCCCGAGGACCACCCAGGAGCTCCCCCCACCCACCCCTCACCCTGGACATCCAGCGGACCAAGCAGCCCTGCACAGGAGATGCCTTGAGAGACTGTGGGTAGGAGAGAACTTTCCAGAGAGGATCAAGAGGCAGAAGGTGCGGGCGCTATGCGTAGGGGCATGACTCAGTGAGACTGGGGTGTGGAAGGGTCCTCAGGCCTGAGAGCCCCGGTAAGGAGGGCTGAGGACTGAGGTCGTGACACCTGATGATGTGGACCGAGCTCAAGACCCCCACTCCGGGGCCATGATGCTCCCCACAAAGAGGGGCAAGTGTATAGAATGGCCCCCTGACCCTGTCTCCACCTTGAGAGCTGGAGGAAACCCCAACCCAGCTGACCCTGTAGGACTGGTGGGGACGCTGTGTGCTTAGCCCACAAAGGCCAGGATGCTCCAGGTGATGAGTTTCCCCACCTGTCCGGGCTTTCGGGGGCTGCTGGGAAGCAGGAAGGCCTATCTCTCTTGGAAGAAGATGGGCTGAGGCTAGGCCGGCGGGGCCAGCAAGCATCCCCAGGCCAAAAAGCAGTGCCTGTCCCCTGCCCCGGGGCTCGAGGCAACATCGTTCCTGGAAACCTCTGCTTTCTCCACCTGCCCTCAGGACTGTGAAGGCAGGAGACCCTGCCCCCCACGCTTCGCTTCTCCCAACAACATCTCTTGCTCTGTGTCCCCCACACCAGCCCTGTGGGCTATGTGTCCCCTCCTGGCCACAGCTCGTGACCCCAGGCGGTTAGAGCCGACTTCTGCTCCCCACCCACCCACCCCCACAACAAGACCCCCAGCTCAGGGAGAAGTGTGGCCCAGTCACACAAAAGGCTCCCTTCGCAAGTGAAGAAATGTTTAAAATGGTGCTAGCCTGTAGGTGAAGGCCACGCTCCACCACCACGGAGTCCACCACCACTGAGCACGGTGCTTTCTGGAAGTCTGGAGGGCCCGGGGAGGGCTCATCATGCGTGTCTGTACCACATGGGCAGCATGGCCCCAGTGACCGAGATCATCGGGGAGGGGGGACAGGAGCCATCTACGTCTGTAGGGGGGGCATGAGATGGCTGGATGGATGGTAGATGGACAGGTGAGGGAAAACTAGATGAAGTCCGAGCTAGCTGGTGACGATACCGCTCCAGGATGTGGATCAGGCGTGAGTTTCATTTTCTTCTCCACGCTTTTCTGAATTGTCCGGGCTTCCTACAACGCGTGTGTTATTCCTCTGATCAGAACAATTAGAGGTTGTCTTCTAAATAATCTGACCTGCATCACAGAAAGCTTCGCAGATCCGGTGGCACCTGTGGTCCTTGTACAGTCCCAACAGGAGAGCCCGGGGGGAGTAGGGGAAGGCCAGGTCCTGTCTGAGGGCCTCCAACTTCCAGACAGGCTCCCCCCAGGAGGGGTTCCCAGGGCCCAGCTCAGCCCCCAATTCCAGGCAGCCCTCCGGGTAGCTGCCAGAAGCCACGCAACCCAGGTCAGGGTTCCCCGTCCGGAGGGGCTTTCGGGCCACACCCATGTTTGGACCCCAGCCCCCAGGTCAGAGGGTCACGCTAAGGTGTGAGAGGTCACTGACCAGGGACCAAAGTCCTGATGCAGTCCCCTCTGCTCACCGTGCACAGGTGCGCAGATGCGGGGACTACGCCGACCTGCGTGATGGACAAGGGCCCTGACCCAGCAGATTACATTCTGGAGGAGCAGACAATAAACGTCCCAAAGGGGAGCTTCCCTAGGCCTGCGCTGGGAGAGAAGAGGCCAGGGCAGCAGAGCTGAGGGGACAGACGGGAGGACCCCGAGTGGGGGAGCACTGAGGGAGCAGCGCCCCGGGAGGGTGCAAGGTGGGGCTGGGGGGGGAGGGAGAGGAAGGGAGGGGAAGGGAGGGGAGGGGAAGGGCAGGTTAGATGCAGGAAGGAGCTCAGGTGCTCCGAGTGGTCAGGGAGGAGGGGACCAGGCAGGATGGCCCGTCAGCCCTTGTGACCACAGGTCCTGCAGGCCGAGGGCCGCATCCTGGGGAGCTGGTGGCAGGCCTGGTCAGCCTGGCCTCAGACCCAGCATCTAAGCAAGACAGACCCTGAGTCCCCTGGTCTTGGTTTGGGGAAGGCACAGAGAGCGGGGACAGAAAGGCCAACCGGACCCGCCAGGGAGTGACCATGGCCTCACCACCCCTCTCCCCTTGTGCAGCCCATGCGCTGCCTCCTTCCCAGGCTTCAGCGGGGAACCATTTTGAGAACTGCCAGCATGAGGCTGCAAGTCACTGTGGTTGGCCAGGATCGCGGCGGCTGGCCACCCCGGGAGGGGCCTGGGCCGAGGCCCCAGAACTCTGCTGAGGGGGCGTGAGGCCAGCACGGTGCCCCTTGGGGCCGGTGGAAAGAGCTAGGGGCACCTGAGCCCCAGGGGAAGAGCATCTGGGCCGAAACATCCGGAAATGCATGGAGCACAGGGTGAGGGCCACAGGGGACTGCTGTCTGAGGCCGAGGTCCCAAGCTGGCAGAGGAGGGCAGCCTAGGCCCCGTGGCACTGGCCCTCAGTCACCCTGGGGCCCCTTCCCTGCCCAGGCCCTCAGGGAAGAAGGATGGAGGAAGCTCCCTCCCCACCCCAGGAGTGCCACCCCCACCACGTGGCCCAGCTGGCCTGCCACAGGCCGGCCCTTCTGGGAAGAGGACTTCCCAGTGGCCTCCAGGCCCTGCGCACAAATAGCTGGGACATTCCCTGGCCCGATTCTGCTGCTCCAACACAGGCAGCCGTTCTTGTAGAAAGTTCCAGAGAAGACACAAGGCACCACAAGAGACACAGCCTGTCCTCCCAGATTGCCTGCCCCCCACACCCGGGATCTGAGAGCAGGATGGGGGCATGCCGTTCCGGGGGGGGGGGCCATCACAGGGACCCCGGACTTGCTGTCGTGGATCCCATGTTTTCCTTCTCTGCCCTTCGTTTTTGTTTTGTGTTGTTTTACCTTTTCTTTTTAAAGTGGTCTCATTGACATACGACACGATCTTGGTTTCAGGTGTGCAATGAGGTGACTGGATGTTTGTAAACCGGGGGGCGCAATCAGCGCAATGTCTCGTTAACACCCGTCAGCAGGCACCGTGACAGACTTTCTTTTCTTGTGATGACAACTTCTACGATCTACTGTCTCGGTGACCTTCGCAAAGTCAACCCGGTTTCGTTAAGGACAACAGCCAGGTCTCCCATCCCACCCCCACTGCCCTTCAGGCGATACCTCCACAAGGGGGAGAAATGGTGCACCTTATCGGGGACTTTTTTAAGTTTTAAAACATGTCCCCGATGCAACTGGCCTGTCCAAGGCGGAAGCCCCTGGGCCAGCTGGGCCGGCACCAGCCCCTCCCCCACATTTCTCCTCCCACCACCACCTTTAAAGGGCCTGGGACCCACAGGCCAGCATCTGCCACTTGCCTGCCGCCCGCCACCATGCGCTGTCTGGCCAGCCTAGCTCTGGCCCTGCTGGCCCTGGAGGCCGCCCTGGCCCTGGCCCTGGCCCTGCCCCTGGCCCCGGCCCCGGCCCCGGCCCCTTACCTTGCCAGGTAGGCCTGGGCTGCTGCCCCTTGGGGGGCGCCCAGGAGGGTCCTCCCAACCTCCCTCTGCTCCAAGTGCGTCCCTGACACCCTGCTGGCCCTGATGTGTTGGTGACAGGACGGGAGGCGCAGAGCGGAGGAGGCTGGCCCCTGGGGGTCCCCCACAGTGAAAGAGTAGGGCACTGCCTAGAGACCCCCCAGGTGCTGCAGGGCCCGGGCCATTGCCCCTGATCGCAGGACAGCTCCCGGGGCATGGTGGGCCTGTCCTTGGCCCCCTGGCTCTTAACCCCACCTGCTGCCGTGGGCCTGGGCACCCTTTTGTCCCCAGGTCACGCTCCACATACTCTTTTCCTTTCAAGAAAGGGTGCGAGTTAGGGTGCTGGGGACTAGACTCCCCATGGTTCCTGCTGTTGCCCTACCTTGCTCCCCCCGCACCGAGCAGCCCCCGGGGTAGGCGGTCCACCAGCCCCACCCACCTGCCTGTCCCGTGTGCAGGGCAGGTCGTGTGCCCAGAGCTCAGCTCCTCGGAGGAGGATGCCTGCATGGTCTCCTGCAACTCGGACGAGAACTGGCCCCAAGGCACCAAATGCTGCCCCAGGAGCCCCTGCAGCCGCTCCTGCGTGGTCCCCCTCATCGGTAACACCGCGGCCCCTATGCCCCGCGCCGAGGCCTGTCCGGGGGAGGGAGGAGCCAGCTCTGTCCGGGGTCCACCCTGAGTAGGCACCCCACACCCCTCTTGGTGACCCACCCCCCAGCCCCCTAAACTCCACCTGGCAGTGAGCACATGCCCCTGCTGGCCTGGCCGCTGAGGCTCGGCCGCCTCCTCCCAGCATTGCCCAGGCCTGGCTCCCCGAGGCAGCGGCCACAGTCCCCTCCCTAGGGATGGGGGCACGGTGGGGCTGGGAGCCAGGACACCAGCTGCAGGGGAGACCAGCCACAGGGTGGTCCTGGGGCCTGACGGGCCGGCCGTCTCTCCCCAGCGCCTGTGCAGAGGGCCGGCCACTGCCCACCGGGTGCAGGCCCTGCTGATCCCCCAGCCCTGCTTGGAGAGCAGCGAGTGTTCCGGGGACAACCAGTGTGCAGACAACAGGAAGTGCTGCCTCAGCATCTGTGCCTTGCGATGTCTGGAGCCCGAGGCAGGTGAGCGCCCCACAGCCGCCCCCGACAGCGCCCCGGCCACAGCCACGGATGCAGCAGAAGGTCTGGGCTGAGAGTGGGTGTTGGGCAAGCAAAGGAGGCAGAGGCTCAGAGACTTGCCCGAGCAGGACAGCAGGACATGGTCCAGCCCAACCGTAGCAGGGCCTGTGCCCTTGCCACATAACCTTGGGAGGCGTCTGGGCTCCCCAGCGTGGGAGGAGGTCTGGGGCGGGAGCTGGGAAATGTGGCTCCTGGCCCCCAGTGACCACGCCTGCCTGTGGGCCACGGGGAGGGATGGGTGTGGAACAGGCCTGAGGCCTCCGTGTCCCCTGCCGAAGAACCCCGTCAGAGAGGGGCTTCCCCAGGAGCCCCTGGCTGCCAGGAGTGACCAGCCTGAGCCTGCTTGGCAAGAACTTTCTCTCTAGGATCCAGGGAGTGCAAGATGCTTCCTACCTGCTGCTAATAAAAACCCACCCACTTAGCTTCACGTCTCTCCGTCTGTCTGTCTGTCCAGGGCACCTGCTGGGAGGGACAAAGCACACAGGCCTCTGGGAGCTCCCGGGCTGCCCACCCAGCCCTCGAGGCTCTGGCCCTCCGGGGTCCAGCCCCGCTGAGAGGCATTGCTGGCGTGGGGACAGGGGCAGAGTGGAGCCTGCAGGGAGGGTTGGGGCCACGAGGTCGCCGCAGCCTCTCTCCACGGCACCTGTGACCCCATCTGGGGTGGCGGGTGCAGTGGGCAGGTGTGGTCACAGGGAGCCTCAGTGCCAACAGCACCTCGGGCAGCCTTGTTGGGACGGGCAGTGAAGTGTGCACACCCACCAGACACGTGGTGAGCACCCCAGAGCTTGCCCCCAGGGTTCCCACCAGGCTGCCCCGACTGCAAACACCCCCCAGAATTTCTGGAGGTGACCCGCACCCTGGCTCACTTAGCTCCAGATTCAGGGGTTCCCACGAACTCCACAGATTCATGAAGCTGTAAGGACGATCCACAGAACTCCGAAAGCACAGTCTGTTATAAAGGACACAGACCAGCAAAAGCCAAATAAAGACCCCACCTTGGAGGTGGGGGCGGGGACGTGGGGGCCTGTGCCCCCGCTGGCTGGGGGCGCACCACCTCCCAGCACACCCACGTGTCACCAGCCCGGAAGCCTCCCTGAGCCTCGGTGTCCTGAGATCTTCTCGAAGCTTCAGTGACAGGCGTTAGGATGAAGCCATTGACCATTGTTGACCAACTCAGCCCCGGCCCTCTAACCCCATGGCTGGCTCCTCGGGCCGCCGGCCCCTGTCCTGTGCCATCGAGGACCCCCACCCCAGAGCCATCTCACCAGCATAGACTCAGGTATGAGAAAGGAGTCCTTGCAAATATCACAGGGCACTCGTATCACCCAGGAAACTGCAAGGTTTTGAAGTGCTGTTCCAAGGAGGGGACAAAGACCAGAATTCTTTTTTTTTTTTAAGATTTTTTATTTATTTATTTGAGAGAGAGAGAGAGAGAGAGCAGGAGCAGGGGTGAGGGTCAGAGGGAGAAGCAGGCTCCCCGCTGAGCAGGGAGCCCGATGCGGGGCTCAATCCCAGGACCCCGGGATCATGACCTTAGCCGAAGGCAGATGCTTCACCCACTGAGCCCCCCAGGCACCCGCCCTCAAAGACCAGAGTTCTTGACGGCCAGCCCGCATGGGTGCTTTCGGCCGGCCTGGCCCCAGCTCGTGCACACTCCAGCCACCTGCCACGTGCCCACTGACACATCAGGAGCTGGGGAGACAGGATGGGTCGTCCCAAGTGAAAAGGGCTCCGACTAGTGGCTGAATTTTGTTTCTGGACCATTCTCCAGCAAAAGGAACCAGGATTCCTTGGAGACATTGTTGAGTGAACACGGGACAAGGCCACGTGGGACACTGCGTGTCAGAAAACGGCACCAGCCTGCAGCCGCCACGATCCAACTGGACTCCAGCAGCTACAGTGGAGGGCAGGAAGCTCTTCCTCGCAGAAAATGCTAGTCAACACGGGGGTGTGGGGGTGGACAGCAAGACTAGAAGCCCATCGTCCCCAACTCTACGGTCCTCATTACTCCAGGCAGTGTCATCAGATGCCAGGGAAGCCACTGGGAGTAAGGGTACAGTCTCTAGCATCCCCCATACTCGCTCATCATCCACCAGGGGGCACTTCTTCCACAACAGAGAGCTGGTCCCCAACTACGCATTCTAGGACTCACCGCGGCTCTGTGCGTCCCAGTGCAACCCAAGGGACCGCGACACTCACAGGTGGTGGCCTTGCCAGAGATGTGCCATCAGGTGAGTGCAGTTTCCACTCAGTGTTGTAGAAGAACAGGGGGGAGAGGAGGGGGAGGAGGGGCGAGAGGGAAGGGGAAGGGGAAGGGAGAAGGGAGAGGGGAGGCCGGTCTGAGCCCAGCCTGGACAGACGAGCCACCCAGCCCGCCCTGCCTCAACCTCAGGGTGAACCAGGCAGGAGGGAGACACCCTAGCCCCCCACTGCCATGCTGGGGGACCCCTCCCCTGCAGAGAACGCCCATCCCCTCCATCCCTGCAGTAGCCATGCATCCAACTTGTCAGCTTGATGCCCTAACATCTGCCCTACATGCATACACTGGACACTGACCCGCCGCCCGCCGCTTCCTCCCCGGACCCCTCCTCAGGAGCAGTCCTCCGCCCCCAGGGTAAGGGGGCCACTTTCAAATGCTAATCAATGATGAGCCCATGCCCCAACCCCCTCCTCCACGGGGGCCTTAAACTCCAGGCCACTCCCCCCCACCCTGCGGTCCTCACCCCCAGGGACCAGAAGACCCGGAGCAGCCCCCACACAGCAGAGCCAGCCCTGGTCTGGTCCTCCCCACAGAAACCAGAGAGAGGCTGGTACCCACAGTGGCCCTCCCCCTGCTTCCTGACCAGGGGCTTCCCTGCGTGCGCGGAGTGCCCCTCTTTCTGATAACTGTGACAACCCGTCTTCAACGGCACTCACCTTCTGCTCCGTTGGCCTCGCCACACCTAGGATTTCCTGTTACAGAGTATCTTAAAACGGTCGCTTTCAGGGGCTGGATGTCCATCCAAGAGAGGAGCACGGAGGGGTGGGGGGGTCCTCTCCCCGCTCCCCCACTCCACCACCGCCCACCACGTGCTCATGGCAGCCCACCCCAGAGCTCCCAGGCCTGGCCGGCTGGCCTCCTGCCCGGGGCCGCCCAGCTCTATCCCCCTGAAGCACCGCTCCTCTGTGCTGAGGGCCCCCACGCCAGAGCCCGGACGGGCTGGAGCCAGGAGAAGCCGGAAGGGCGGCGGTCAGTACAGTTCGGGGCCGGGCCCCACCCACACGCTGCACTGAGCACTGGCCACGCCACACCAGGAGGCTCTGCAGGACTTGCTGGTGGACATGGGGGAAGGATGCGCAAGGCAGAAGGGTGGACCCAGTGGAGGAATGGACGAGGGCAGAATGGAGGAGGAGGAAGGAGGGGGAATGGAGAAGGCGGAGGGGCTGGATGTGTTGGTTATGGGTTTGGGGGACCTGACTTCTGGCGGGATTCAGGGTTCAGGAGGGCAGAGGGCTCACCACCCTTCCCCGGCTGGGAGGGAGCCTCTGGCCAGGATGGAGAGGTGCTAGGGGTTCAGGTCTGGAGGAACTCTCCAGGCGCCCCCGCACAGTCCCATCCCCCCTCCGGCCTCAGTTTCCCTCAGGTGAGGAGGGCGTGTGGGACAGGTTCTTGTGCCTGGCAGAGCTGGGGCCAGGCTCTGAGGGAACAGGCCTGCAGATCTGATTCCTCTTTCCCTTCCCCCTCCCCCTCCTTGGGGGGGGGGGTCTTCGGAGGTCCCAAGGGAGGGTCTTTCCCTGAGAGGGGAAAGCCTGTGACCAGGTCTGTTGTGAGTCCCCAGGCCCACCCCCAGGCTCTGTGATTCTACAAGGACTCAGCACAGCGCCTTGGCCGCGGCTAGGATGTATTAGGGCAGAAGGGGACTGCAAAACCTGCACAGAAGAGGCACGGGGGTGAACTCTGGAGGGGGCTAGGCAGGAGCTTCCAGCCCTGTCCCCGACTAGCCACAGAGGAGCCCGAGGAGCCGCTGGATTCCCCGGCAACACGCTGCTCTCGGTCTGCCACTCCACCTGCCAGCAAGCACGCTGGACGGGACGGGCTCAGGTCTCCCCAGCAATCCTTCCCCCGTCCCCTTCGAAGGGAGACGAACCCATCTCATCCAGCCTTCTTGTCAGCCTGGTGCTCTTGGCCTCCAGGTCAGCAGCAGCAGGCGGGGAGGGCACTGTCCTGCCCCAGCACCTTGCTGAGGGCGCCGGGCTGGGACCTCCGGCCAAGGCCACTCTGCCCCCAAGTCACCAACAGGCTGGGGGGTAAGGGAGCAAGCCGGGCGGGCCTCACTGGGAGGCGCACAGGACACAGGGTGGTAGTGGGGTAAGGAGGAGGAACGCGGAGGGGAGCTAACAGAGCAGAACCAGGAGGGCGACAAAAACAAGGCCGCCCGCATCTTCCCGGCATCCAGCTGGATCCACTGCCTCTGATGGCAGTGGGGGTTGCAAGCTCTGTGCTCAGAACAATTTGAACACCTCCTGCAAAGTCAGAACCTCCACCCCAACCCACAAAACGCAGCCACCCTGTTTCCCAGCCCTGCCCATGAACAAGGAGCCTCTCTCTGGGGAGCATGGCCCGAGGGCCTCTGCACTGCATTGCCTCAGCCAGCACGGAGCGTGGGGCCCCCTGCGAAAATCTGAGTGACCGTGTGGGCTCTGGACGTAGCCCTCAGGCCCGGACGCCGCTCCCCCGAGAGTGAGGTCAGGGGACCCTCTGGTCACCAGGCTGGAGATGCAGCCCGCGGGCAGTGTTTGCTGGAGCGATGACTCCTGGCTCCGGGGAAGTAGGAGAGGCTTTGGGGGGGGGGACGCACGGGGCTCTGGGTGGTCTGTCTGTGGCTCCTTGCCATGGCCGGTGAGTCCCCAGACATCGGGTCCCAGGCGAGCCACCCTCGGAACCTCCAGGACCAATGGCGACAGGAACCGTGGCCCTGGCAAGCACCCGTCTACTTCTGCGCCTACGGACCTGCATCTTCAGGACAAGGTGAACGAAGTCACGCGGTGAGTCATCTCGTGTCAGGACTCTGTCACCGGGCACGCTCCCAATGCTCATCTAGAGTGATTCTGGCTGGCAACCATCCCATCGGGGACACAACATGGTGTATGTTCGATCATCCATTGATGACGATCGGATTGCGTCTAGTTTGGGGCTTCTGGGAACGCTTGTGCACAAGCGTTGGTGCTGACATGTCTTCCGTTTTCTCAGGGTGCGCACCGAAGAGTCACACAATTTCGAGAAACTGCCCCATTTTCCAGACCAGCTACACCATGCTACACACCCACCAGCAATGCTCAGTGCGCCAAACTCCCCAGGCCCTCGCCAACACCTGTCATCTTTGGGGCTCTGTAGAGGTTGTTTCCACATCAGCCATGTAAGTGGGTGCAAAGGGGCACCTCACTGTGGCTGTGAGCGGCATTTTCCTGAGGACTGGTGACGCTGAGCGTCCTTTCCTGTGCTCATTGGACACGTGTGGGTCTTTGGAGAGACGTCTACTCCAATTCTTTGACCGGTTTTCAACTGGGCAACTGCCGTTTACTGTGGAGGTGTAAGAGCTCTTGGACTTTGCGTCTTTGTTTTGAGATTCACCCATGTCACTGCATGCACTGCTGCTCATTCCTTTTTTTTTTTTAAGATTTTATTTATACATTTGAGACACAGAGACTCTCTGAGAGAGAGAGAGAGAGCATGAGCAGGGGGAGAGGCAAAGGGAGAGAGAGAAGCAGGGTCCCTGCTGAGCCAGAAGCCCGATTCAGGGCTCGATCCCAGGACCCTGAGATCATGACCTGAGCCGAAGGCAGATGCTTACCCATCTGAGCCCCTCAGGCGCCCCGTTAATTGCTTTTTATTAATATTCGTTTTCTAGAGTGATTTTAGGTTCACAACAAGACCAAGTGAGAAGTACCATGAAATCTACCCCTTGTCCCCACAACACACACACACACGCCCTCCCCCCACTATCAGCATCCCCCACTAAATGGTACATTCGTTATGATCAACGAACCCACAAGGACTCATCATGAACATCCAAAGTCCCCAGCTGACGTGACGGCTCCCTCTTGGTGTGTTTATCAGATGGGTTTGGACAAAAGTGTGATATCCACCCACCACAATATCACATAGAATAGCTTCACTGCCCGAAAGATCCTACAGTCTGCCTATTCACCCTTGCCACCCCCAGCCCTGGCAACCACTGACGTCTCCACGGTGCCCATAGTTTTGCCTTTTCCAGAACGTCATACATGTGGATTAACACAGTACTCGGCCTTTGCAAATAGGCTTCTTTCCCTTAGGAACATGCATTCGAGGTTCTTCCATGTCCTCTCGTGGCTTGACAGCTCACTATTTTTTAGTGCTACGTAATATCCCACCAGCTGGATGGTGGGATATTTTGCTTAGCCACCCCGCTCCTGAAGGGCACCCTAGTTGCTTCCAAGTCTTGGTGATTAGGACTGAAGCTGCCAGAAACATCTGTGTGCAGGTTTCCATGTGGATGTTAAGTTTTCGGCTCCTCGGGGGGGGTTCCAAACAGCACGACTGCAGGCCTGCATGGCATCTGAGTGTGTTCCGGCCACTGTCCCAAAAATACCACCAACTCTGTGCCTTACAAACAGCAGAAATCTGTTTCTCACTGTTCTGGATGGAGGCTAAAGGAGCGAGATCGGGGGACCAGGACGGTCACAGGAGGGCTGTCTGTTCTCCACTGCAGACTTTTTGCTGTGCTCTCCGTGGTGGAACCTCAGAGGCTCTGTGGGGTCTCTGTGAGTCTCTCTCTTTTTTTTTTTTTTTTTTTTTGAGCGAGAGAGAGAGCACGCATGCCAGAGGAGGGAGGAGGCAGACTCTGTGCTGAGAGCGGAGCCCCACTACACAAGGCTCGATCCCACAACCCTGCGATCATGACCTGAGCCAAAACCAAGAGTCAGACGCTCAACCAACTGAGTCACCCAGGTGCCCAGGGGTCTCTGTTTTAAAGACACTAATCCCACCATGAAGCCTCCACTCTTGTGACCCAATCACGTCCCGAAGGCCCCACCTCCTAACACCATCACCTTGAACATTAGGTCTCGACATATGAATTGGGGAGACACAGATATTTGGTCCATTGTATATGGTAAGAGTATGTTTAGTTTTGAAATAAAATAGGAAACTTCAAAAGCAGCTGTACCATTTTACAGTCCCACCAGCAAAGGATGAGCAGACATCTGAGGATAGAAACCAAACCAAGAGGAATAATAACAGCAAGAGGAAAAAGAACAGCAACTATAAAAGGAAAACAAAAACTTAGAAAAAAAAAATCCCTATCACCAAAATCCTTACAGAGATAAGAGAAAATATTACAATCATGAAAAAAAATTGTATAGGGCGCCTGGGTGGCTCAGTCGGTTGGGCATCTGCCTTCGGCTCAGGTCATGATGCCGGGGTCCTGGGATCGAGCACACCACATCGGGCTCCCTGCTCCGCGGGAAGCCTGCTTCTCCCTCTCCCACTCCCCCTGCTTGTGTTCCCTCTCTGTCTCTGTCAAATGAACAAATAAAATATTTAAAAATAAGTAAAGTGTACTTTTAAAAAAGAGTATAAAAAGGAGCTCTTGGTAAACAAAGTGTGACGGCAGAAATCAGGCCTCAGGAGAGTTAGAAGCTAAAGCTGAGGAAATGTCTCAGAAAGCAGAGCAAATAATAATAATAATAAGGAGATGAAGAGAGGTGGAGATGAGACAAGATGGGAAAACCAGGGAAAATCAGAAATCGGTCCAGAAGAGCCAATATTCAAACCTGGCCATTTTGGAAAGAGAGATTAGACGAAGGAAAGGAAATATCCAACCAAATAAACTACAAACCCTCAGCCTGAGGACATGGGTTTTAGGTTAAGGGCTCATCACGGGCTCAGGCAGAGGGAGACTCGCATCGCTGTGAAATATCAGAACCCAGGCATAATGAAAAGACAGCTTTTAGAAATTAAAACAGGGCGCCTGGGTGGCTCGGTTGGTTGAGCAGCTGCCTTCAGTTCAGGTCATGATCCCAGGATCCTGGGATCAAGCCCCGCACCGGGCTCCCTGCTCCGTGGGGAGCCTGCTTCTCCCTCTGCCCTTCCCCCTGCTTGTGC